AGAAGAGCCAAAGGGTATAAAGAGATATTTGAACATGTAACTCAGATAATTACTGAGAAAGAAAAAATATGGGTTTATCCATCTGAAGATCATATTATCTATTCCAATGCAAGGATGGATACCAAAGAGGAAGATATTTGTTATCTTGACCATCTATTATCTGCAATTATATCCAACCAAGTGAATGGATCAGAACATATGGCTAAAGAATTATGCAAGTTACTTTGGAATTACAGTGATCACCATTGTGAATACTGTGTAGTTGAAGATATGAGTCAAGCATCCCTTAATGATGAAGAATTCCCAGCATAATTCTTTGATTCAAAAATGGAAAATTGATGGTGACTAAAGTAGCCCTTTATCATTACTTTGATAAAGAAATTTATTAAAGAAAAACTGTGACTACTAAAAGACAGAAGATAGTACAAGAAAAGTCTCCATAATTGTAACTACCCTCATCAATTGCTACAAGTGGCAGACAAATTCAAAAGATAAGGTATCTAATTTCAAAAGAAGAGGTCCACCCAACAAGAAGACAATGAAGAATTCGGTGGAGATAAGATGGCCTAGCTACCCAACAAAGACAGAGGGAAAACACCTGTCCAAGATAAGATTCCAAAATCTCCTATAAAAGGAGGGATGAAGGAAGGAGGAAGACATCTCGAAATACCTTGAAATAATTTCTCTTAAACACATTTGAGAGAAACATTTTGTAATCTGTATACACTACTTGTATTCAGAAAAATATTAGATAGCTTGAAGATAGGAAAGCATGTAATAAGGTAATCACTTATGGAGTTCTAAACTTCATAAGGTGAGTACCAAAGGTATGTAAATATAGTTTGTAAGCATGTACAATTTCAGTTCATGAATATTAAAGTAAAGTTTGTTATGTTCAACAAAGTTTTCATAAAAAGATTTCGTTAAGTTTCTCATGATTCCTTGGCAGTACAGATAGAGATTTTAAAAGATTTTCAAAACTTTGATTTTGAATGGATGTTAGCCATGCCAAAGTACCCGTATTTGATGAATAGTTAGGGGAAAAAGGCAGTTTTCTAACAAAAATTTGTAGCACCTTGTGTGTGAGTTATCTTTTAAAATTTCGTTCCAAGTAGGAACTTGATTCTGAAAAGAGTTTGGATAGAGGTGAAAACAGAGATTCTGGATACTGTGAGATAGCGTCTGTGGAAACACGGCTAGTTCTCTAGAATGAGAAGTGCAACCTTAATTGAAAAGCTTTTTGCGGAAGCAGTTGTGGACCCAAATGATTTAAAAAATATTTTAAATCTTTACTTGATTCAGAAGATCAATTAAGTACATGCAGAGCATCTATAAGAGCATACTGGAGGGAAAACCTGTTTATTTTCACGTGATTACTGTAAGTTATTTACTTGCTTCTACATGTCTATGCTTTAATTATTTTCATGAACAATTCACAAGCATCCACTTCTACTACTAATAATGATAATAATCTTATCTTATTTTTAGATGAAAAAGATGTTTCGTTCTTACTTAAACTAGATAAAAAATCTGATGATATATTTCCTGTTGGTAAAGAAAAAATAGAAGAAATATATAGAGATATAGATCATAATTGTAGAAATAATATAGGATTTGATTCTGTAGGAACTAGCAGGAAAATAAGAAAAGTAGAAGATATTATAACTAAACATACAAATATACAAGAAGAAATTTCAGAAGGACTATTTAAAGGATACATAACCAAAAAAGGTCAACCTGTAATCTTTGAAGAATTATTAAAATATAAAGAATATTTAAATGTGTTCAAAAGACTGAAAAATATAGATATATAACTTGATTGATAAATCCTTAAAGATATAAGATAGATCTTGCAAATAATTTCATTAAGGGCAATATAGTACTTTTAATAGGAAAGGCTATTATGGAAAAAAGGAAGAGTTCAACAGCCATTCTCAAAGTTGTCCCTATATTTTCATGCTTTTCACACACTTATATCCATGCAAGCATGTTTAAATACAAGTAGAAATTAGAATTATTAACAACATTTCAGAGGCATTGGACTTGTTACAAATCACAATACTCAAGGACCGGAAAAAAAGAAAAAAAAAGAAAGACCCTTTTTTCAATACTTAATGTTTGGTTCCCATTATTTTCTAATTAAAATGAAAAATATGACCATTATCCATCACATCAAGCCACCAAATTTGAATTTCTATCTCTTATGTGGAGTCCGTAACAACTATATTTTTCATTCTCATTCATTTAAAAATGAGAAACAAACGGGGGCTAAATGATAAAATTTAAGCATATCACTAACTATACTCCTAGTGTAGCATTTTGACGTATGAATTTTAGCATCACGTAATTGGCTAACAATAAAAAATGTCATCTTGCAATATTTATGAACTTTTTCTTTTCAAAAATTACATAAACATGACATAAAACGACAAATTTGTCCTATTAGTTAAAGAAAAATTAGCATTTATAGTATTTATAGGAGGGCAAAACATGAAATGCACATTGTTTCAAAAGTTTTGGCAATGAATAAACGAGTAGTTATATTTTGGATAAGGTTTTTGTTAGTTGCACTACTTTTCAATTGCACAAAAAAACTTTTAGAGTGTATTTGATTGTCAATATTTCTCATGAAAAATGTGTGTTTTCCACCTAAAGTCCTACTTTTGTGTTGTCTGATTGCCATTTTTTTCGTGAAAAATATTTTCCTACTTTTGATCATGTAACCGTATTTTCCTCAAAATCAAGGAAAACATTTTCTTTAGAAGAAATAATATTTTATTTTCCAGTGAATTCACTATCTCTTTCTCTCTCATCTACCCATCAATAAAAAAATCACAAATATAATATTTTCTAAATTGAAAATTAAATCAATCAAACACATTTAATTGATAATTTTCATGCAAATAAATTCTAAACAATTGAATTATCTAGATTTTATTTTTTTTCATGCAAATTTCATATTTACAATCAAATGTATCCTTAATTTTGACTCATTATTGCACTTACATCCCCAATTTTATTTTTTTTCGTCGCAAAATTATCGTCAATTTCCATTAATTAACATATTTTGTCCTTGATGATGATTTTTTCCCCAAGAAGTGCATTAGGATGACTCAAAAATAATTTATTAGCCCTCATACTGAAAAACTAATGCAGAAGTACACCATAACATTTGCACCACATTTCGAAGTACATTAACAAAATATTTCAACAGAAATCATTATCAAGGAACAAATATATCAATTAATGTAAAGTTGATGATAAAAATGCAAAGTTGAGGACATAATTATGTTACTCAGCTAAAATAGAGGATGTCCAAAACAATGAAAAGTAGTGCAACTAAAAAAATTATAGCATATAGTTGGCCATAAATAATTAGCCCTCAAATAGAATTAACAGACATAATTAGTATTTATTGTTTGACAAAATTATGCAGTAGAAAAAGGTAAAAGAAGCCTACTTTCCACTTGGAAGATAAGAAAATGACTTGCAACCTACCATAAAGACAATTATAAACTACTCTACCATAATTTTTATCAGATCATCCCAATTTTTGTGTACCCTCCTCTACCTTTTAGGGCCTGTCTTGATATAATTTTTTTAATGAAATAAAAAGAAAAATTATAGATCAACATGCAAATTTATTTTATTGAAAGAATGGGTCATTTAAATGAGTTTAATATAAAATGTGTTTTAAAACTAAATGTAGAAATTTTGCATCAGCTTTATATACTTTGGACAAGAATATTTGGAGGATTCGAATTCATGCAAAAATTATGAGGGAGCCCTCATTTGAAACCCATTCTTTTTAAACTTATTTTCTACAAACTCATTTTTAGCCATTCATTCTTCCAATAAAATTTAAATTCAAAACTTTTTCATACTTTTTAACCTTCATATTCTTCAAGAAATAAATATTACAAAATTTAATTTTAAAAAAAGGCTCAAACAAAGTACAAACCCTTTGTTACACTTTTTAAGAGAGGAATATATATATATATATATATATTAACATATTTCACTCTCTCTCCCATCTATTTCCTCTATATACTTTGCGATGCGCCAGAAAAGAAAATAAAACTAAATTCCTCACGCCAAAGAATTGGTATTAGAGGAATATAATAGTTAGTTTTCAACATAATTTTTTTTTAAGATAAAGAAAAAAAAAAGCATATTATTCATGTTAAAGTGTATGAAATATGAAGAAAGTATGGCAAAAAAGTCCATTCAACTCGAAACTGGCGAGACCACACCCAGAATGGGGCGAGGATTAACCCTCCAAACCAAGTAAACGATGCAAGGGCAAGGGCAGGATGGAGGTCGTTGCCCCGAAGTGGGTACGGAAAACATCATCCCCACCATGTTACTAGGCCTGTTTAAAGTTAATTTTAAATTTAAATTTTTATTAAACAAAACGAAAAGATTTATCATCATTTTCAAAGAGAGTATGCATTGCTCTTAACAAATTGGAAAAAAGTAAAAATATCCATTATTCACGAACAAAAGATAAAAAAAAACATATACCCCGTTTGATACCCATTTTTTTCAAAATGCATTTTTCTCTTTCTTTTCAACCACACATTCTTTATTAAAATAATATTACACGTAAATAAAAAACTTTTCCTTATTTTTCAACCACACATTTCCTATTAATTTACTATTTCAAAATACATTTTTACATAAAAATTGCTCCCAAACACCCTCATAAAATAAATAATAAAAACAAAAAATTGCAAACAGGGCGATAAATGAGGTAAGGCACTTGTCCCACCCCACACGATCCTGCCCCAAACCCACTTTAATCGGGCATGGAGGCAAGGTAAGGTAACAAAAATATCCGAGGGGATAGAGGACGGGAATAATTGACTCACCCAGTTGTCATCCCTAGAAGAAAGGGAGATGGAGGAATCTTTTGTATGCTAAAGTTCATTTACTGTATTTTAAGACTTGCATGCAATAGCAATAGCAATAGCAATAGCAATTGAACCGAAAAGCAGAAATAAAAAACTAAAGAAAATGCATAGCAAATTCTCCGCCAACCAATTATTTATTATTCCGGATCTTCTATAGTTTATGCTTTTACTCCATAAAGAGTGAGAGATTAAAAAACCATGCTATAGAAATGAAGTGAGAAAGAAACAAATTGGAAAATTCAGGCAACATATGGAAAAAAGTTCACCGTGTAATTCTGATGAATAAAGGGTAGCAGTGATCCTTGTCATAGTTGGGCCAGGAGTTATCCCCGTTAATGAATCTTTGATGACGCCTCCAAATTTCGTTTTCATACATTTCAGTTATGCTGAAGTTCAACCCGCTATCCTTAACTTCTACCAGAAACTTATCCAACGAATCACCTCTTTTGGGGCTAAAAATTATGGCTTCAGACGGGCCTTCTTCTTTAAGTAAGCATCGGATAGTTTGCACAAGGCCTTTGTGGAATTCTTTGAAGAAAGTGCTGGAAAATGACAAACGAAGCAAAAATGAGCTCGACGTGACCATAAGAAAAATCACTCTGCCTATTTTGGAAAACAACCTAAAAGTTCTTCCTAGTTGGTAATAATGATTTCCCCATCCAAATATCTGACACTCACTGAAAATGACTCAATCATCTTAACGAACTATAACCATTCATCATAGTTAATTGGTTGGTGTGTCACTGGGCTGGTGGGGGAACCAACAGGAATGAGGGTCCACGCACCAAAATCACATCACAAATCACCAATATGATTAAATACCTGCCCGTCTAATAAGCATTGGTAGGAAGAGGGTCATTCAATGGCTAAACTTATTACAACTTAATTTCCATATGCAGCATTATGAAGGCAAGCATCACCTGGCTATACGATTATTTTTATAATTTTCTATCATCACCGATCCACACACTCTTTTCACAATATAAAAAGCTAAGAAAAATTATGCATTCAGTTAAAAGTGTGGAAGGAGAAATTTGAACTTCGTTATTTGATGAAAACTAATTACCAGTCACTTGCAATGACAATGTCATAGGTACTGGATACACTTGAGACTTCCCAATGCAGCATCATTGATGTTACCTTTGTACCACAAAATGCAACTGAGTTGGCATCTATGTTACGCTGGATGTCTGATTGTTAAGAGCTGTCAACCATAGCACAAGAAGGGATTTCACAAGATAATTCAACCAGCGACTCCCAAATTGGGACACTAATGCAGTAATGCTATTATGGATACAAAATTATGTGCAAGCATAAATTGCACATTGATGGATAATAGAAAGAAAGGAAAAGACAAATTAATGACTAAACCACCAATTTTTTGCATGGATGAAAACTTGGAAAAAAAGACATAATTCTAAATGGCATGCTCTGGATTAACCTAATTGATTAGAATAATATAAAACATTAAATTTGGTGACAACAACATAGCTCAATGACCCAAATTTGTCTCTAGAACAATTGGATCATTTTCGTGCATTCTTATTTATATTTGTTCCACAATGGACAAAAGCAAAAGATTGTGCATTGATGGATAACATAGTTGCACAGACATATAAATGCAAATATGAGTAAGCATCATTGGTTTAAAACTAAATGGCAATACAAGCTTGGGATTTATGGATAATACCCAATCCATCGTATATCTTAGAGTTCAAATCAAGGGACACTCTATAGGTAAAGAATTTTCCCCTTAGCTTAAAAAACCATCCATAGCCTTCATACATTCTCCACCCACACAGCTCGCATGCACAACCATATTCCACATGCACCTATTACTACAATTTACACTTGCATTTTCAGTGGTCCAATCACCATATTTCTTCAAATAAGGGTTCACAATTCATTACTTGTCAGTTAACTATTTTCATATTAGTTAATCTTTATCTGCTATCAGGTTAAATACATTGCACTTCATTGCAGAAGACAGCAAAAATTTAATCATTTGATGCCGTACGCCACAGGTCCAAACACAGATGAGAATTAGATGACTCTAGACAGTATTATGGAATCATATGAATTGTTCATTATACTGTCTTGTCCAGCATTGTGTACCAAATATGCTACAAATATTTAGTTATCTGTCCATCATAGAGATGATCAGAAGCAGGGATATACTTATTTCCAAGTTCCAACATCTAATTAGACGAAATCAAAAGGATACAATCCACAACTTGAGGATTACCATCTGAAATCACTACTTCTAATGCATCTGAGACCATTCCAATAACTAAGCCGGCTAAGCCATAGCCTGACCCAAGTTCGATTACTCTTTTGCTCCTGGAAAATTTAAGAAAGCATAAACAAATTGATACTAAAAGGAAACATTCATTTGAAAATCAGGCGATGAGAATGAATAACATCATAATAAACCTGAACATATCAACATGCGACAAGCAATAATAGGCAAGGACATCCTCTGATGGCCACTGACCTGTTCAACAAGAAAGGCCCACAACTATAAAAAAAAAAAAAAAACAAAATATAAAACTAGTATCACATATTATCTCAATATATGAAAAGAACTGAAACTGGTTTTGGCGATTCTGATGTGGTTCAAATATATATATATATTTTTTCCAACCCAGTTCTTAAACTCTAAATTGTGCACAAATAGGATGCTACAGAATGATTTCAGGCTGATTTAAACCGATGCACACTTAGGATGCACTAGAATGAACTTTGAAAAGTTAAATATGGTGTAACCAACCACTTTTATTTCTTGCAATTATTATCACTAAAACGAAGGATTAAAAAAGATAAAAGTAAAAATAAATAACCAGACATTGTCTTGCACAATTTTTAGCTCGTTAATCATTTTTAACCAGACATTGAAACTTTACTGACTTTTTATTTTCACTTGATTTCCGTTTCTTTGCTTTCTTAATAAGCCCACGTTTTGTGTCACTTTCTACTTTTTTACCCTTGTGTTGTTAAACTGCATTTTTGCCCTTTCTATTTGGTAATTTTGATGGATTCTGATGTAGAGGAAGTTGTAAAGTAGCCTACAGAGAGGTCTAACATGCACATTTCACCAAGTTATCGGGAGGAAAGTCTGCAAAATGCAATTACTGTAAGAAAGTCCACGAGTGTAATGGAACTTCTACTTTGCGAAAGCGCTTAGAAACTTGTTTTGCTTATAAATGCACTAAGACATCAAACAAGCAAACAGTTCTAAAAAAAAAAGAAAAATTGATGATTGTAATGGACCTAATGGTGAGGGTGTCACAGGGCATATTATGGCATCATTATTTGATAAAATAAGTGTCAAAAGCATTGGTCCAGATGGTGATTATTGATGAATTGCCTTTTTCCTTTGTGGAGGGTGAGGGTTTCAAGGCATTTGTGTAAGAACTTTGCCCAAAATTTGTGGTTCTTGGTTGTACTACTATTGCTGAAAATGTGCTTCATCTTTACCATGAAACAAAAGAGTCCTTAAGGGATAAATTTATCAAAAATTGGCCGAAAAGCACTGACACGCTGCCAATGCTGGCGTAGTGGTGTCCGACACGTATCGGACACCTGTAAGTCTCCGACACATTGTTGACGCGTGTGGAGGCCCTTGTGGCGTGTCTTTTGGGAAAAGAACTGAAGGCGGCAACTGAAGAAGACATGAAAAATTGTTCAAGAAGGCAGCAGACGAGGAAGACAGGAAGAATTGAAGAAGGCCCCTGCAGCATGTCTTTTGTGGAAGAACTGTTCACGTAACAACTCATGAGTTAGTTTGAGGAAGAAGATTAAGTCAATAGCCGAGGAAGACTAGAAGACAGTAAGCAGCAACTGAGGAAGACCACAATAGTAAATGAGTTGACTAGTTATGAGTTGACTTCTGCCATGTATAGCAAATACATTTACAGTAATGTACAGGGAGGCAATTTAGGCAATATCTGGAATTTTATTTTATTTTTTTCATTAATCCTTTAGGCTTTACAATCAATCCCATGACTCTACAGAATTCGGGCTAACTTGTTGAAACTGAGACTCTTCCTTGCTAAAATCTATATACTTCTCACTTTTATTGCTAGCTGAAAAGTATATCAACTTTTCATTTTTTGTTAATTTTACTCCACAATTCAGAGCCTATCTGTTCAGTATATCAAAGATCGAACTCTCAGGACACTTGCGAGTCTTGAGCAAAGGTTGCACCAAATCCAAACCTTCATCACAAACTTAGAAAATATAAGTTTGATCCAAATACCAAATTTAAATTTGATGATTGCTTGCAAGGATACATAAATCATAACATCACATACACAAAATATCACCTGATACCTTCGGTTAAGAATGTTTGAAAAATAGCAGCAAATGCTATTCCTTTGATTTTTTAAATTTGTAACAAGGGCAAGTTTTGAGAAAGAATTTCAGTTTCAGCAGAGTGCAAGTGTGATATTCTCGAGTTTTCCTTTCCCTTCAATATTTTGTGTCGTATGTAGCCTTATAGGTTAAGAGATCTTTGCTTTTGTGAGGCATCTAATCAACTGGTTTCCTAAATAAAACTATATTTCAACTTCATAAGGATAATTCATCCCCTAATCAAGAACGAATTAATGAGCTTGATGAGGATCATTCCCATAGTCAAGAAAATACAGGCTAAACCAAGAAATTTTTTTCTTTCATGGACTCAATCTTGTCCAAATCTCTAATTCGGTCCACTCAGAAGGGACCCAATATTAAATTGGCCTGTTTTGTTTTTGGCTACAGCATGCTTTTTGATTAGTACAAGTTAATCTATTTCCCATCAAATCTTCATTAATTAAAAAAGTGATAAGATCCTTGGACAACTTCATGTATAAAGGTGGTTTTGAGATGCTCATGCTATGAGTTAAAAGACTCCTAACTTTGCAAGCCTGACTATTGGGAAGAATATTGTAGATATGACCAACTTCATCTTGGAAATGATAAATACATTGAAGTATCTTATCTTTATACCTCATCTATTTGTATGCCAACATATTACCTTATGTCAATCGCGTACAGGTTGGAAGTCATGTAGATGAAGGAGAGTGGAAACATTCTTAAGAGTTTGATATATTTCCCAAGAGGTGTTCGTACAGACCACAAGAGATTACTGTGATCATTAAGGACTATTCTGATAGCACCTACTTCTGAGTGAAGGGGATGTAGATTTATACGTGCAAATATCATGTATTTCTGCCATCAACTAATCAAAGTATGTTTATTCTTACATAAACAGAAATAAGAATTTGTTAGTTGGAAGTGACAAAATAAGTAGCAACGTTGAAAGGGGACAGCGAGTTAGGGGAAGCAAAATGAGGAAGGGGCAGCAGTACAGAGGTAGAAATCATTGACAAAGAAGTAAAAGGGGTAGGTTTAGCTGAAAGCATGTACCAATAAACCCAGAATTCAAGCAAACAACTGCAAATGAAAAGTTTTTTCAACACAATCCATTCAACATTGTACCTAAGCTGATACATTGCATGGATGTGTTTGTTAGACGGATAGAGTATAACTTGAAGTCGAAGGAATGAGAAGAAGAAAATAGGATGTAGTACAATTAATAATTTGATAAATTGTTAGCATTATTAGTGTGATATATTCAGATCAAAGATAAAGCAATTGAACTTACAAACAAGCCCCGTGTTGTCAATGCCATATCTGTTACAGGTTTCAAAATCCTTGAGATCCACGCAATCTTCCACTCTTTTGCTGCATTCCACTCCATATGTTATTGAGCATTGCACTCATACCAAAATCATTATATCTTTGTAACTATGAAAGCGGTAATTTGAACTTAACTATAGCTAAGGTCAATTCCAAAAGTTTTCTTAATCACTAACATTTGATTCGGTACAAACAATCCAAAATGAAAGTAAGGAACAGTTATATAAAATGCTAACATGCTGATATATGTTTATAGTAAAAATAGAAGTATTAAAACATACAGAACAGTGACAAATGATGCCACAGCTAGACATGGATTACCAATTTTCCTACACACAAATTATGGTTTCAAATAATAATAATTCCAAAATGAAATTAGGGTGTCAGGTGTGTTTGGCGTAGATGGTTTAAGAAATTGAGTATAAAATTAAAATGGTCATTATTAGGGTGGACCAATATGAAACGTACTCCTAATTCTTTTTATTAAAAGAACGCTAACCTAAATCTATCTCCTCTCCCGTAAGAAACATAGTGCAAAAAGCATTCTTTTAATAAAAAAATATGTGAGTACTTTTCACATTGATCCACTCTTGTACTATCCCCTTTAATTTTATACAAAATTCCAGGTATGGTCTAACCCAGAGGAGCATAGGTAAGAGGAAATACACGCCTATAAAAATTAAGGACGAAAACAGAAGTATTTTGCGCATTTTATTTATGAAAAAACCCTCATAGAGGCGGGAAATTAGAACAATTCGGCAAACAAAATAAGCAAATAGTTGCCGGTATTAGAGCAAATAATTATAGCATATACTCACTGTATAAAAAGCTTGGGAGCATTAGAAACAGGTAATATGTAACAGTAACAAGCATCTCTGAAGCTATTGGACACAGAATCTGAATTTTCTTCAAGTAGATCGTCATTATTCATTCTACAGCACGGTATCAAATTAAACCCAATTCTCGTTTTTCTAGATATCTGATTCAAACCGATTTCGGACTGATTTTCTGCAAAATCAATCAAAAGATCAAGATTTACATTCCATGAGTACAAATAGAAGCGTACAATATATGCATTTCAATATAAATTGCAACTACCAGAATCAGATGACGGACGGGGAAGAAGGGCCTGGCGTATGATTTTCCAGCGCAATGAAGAAGGTTTTGAAGTGATCTTTGTGCTATCGGACACCATTGTTACGTTCCTGTTGGGCTTCTCTTATTGGAGTTGATAAATATTGAGAGAGAATCAGATAATGCGTGTATTAATATTTGGGATCTCCAAATCTATTGGAAATGGAGCAGGTACATGCTTTACCTATAACTTTCATGGCTGCAACTAAGGGCACGTGCAAAATTACCCTTTCCTTTAATTTTTAAAACTTTTAAAAGAAAGAAAAGATGATTTTATCCATAGCTTAAAAAAAAAAAAAATAATAACAAAAATCCACTTACCCATATCTTTTGTTTCTTTTCCTTTTAATTAAACATAAGAGCAAAGTTGTAATTTTTAACAAGAAATTGAATTTTTAATTGGATAATTATATTCACACTACAATTTTTATAAATGCACCGTATTCTAATTTTATTAAACATCTATAATCATTATTGATCATCACGTTTATATCCCTTACCTTTTTCATCACATTAATATATTTAACTTTTCATTTATGAGCAATCTTTTCCTTAACAATGGATTTTTGTCTAATGTTTTGTTAGCTTGCTTCAAAATGATGGACAAATATTTAGTTGTTATTTTCTACTTTTTTTTGTTTATTCAAAAATACAAGAGGTAAAATAAGGGCTCATCTTAGGCCCCATTTGGTACCTATTTTTTTAAAAATATATTTTTCTCTTTTTTTTCAACTACGCATTCTTTATTAAAATAATATTACACGTAAATCAAAAACTTTTCCTTATTTTTCATTAACATATTTTCCATCAATTTACTATTCTAAAATACATTTTTACATAAAAATGGGTATCAAACACCCTCTTAATGAATTTATTTATTTATTTACTTTTTATAAAATCATTATCAGGAACGAGAAGTGCTAATTAATAGAATGATAATTATAAGAATATGAATAAAAAAGTTGAGAATATGAGAATATAAGTGTAACAATATATATTATGAGTCTTTTTATGCATTTAATAGAGGGAACGTTTTTACACATGAATTTGACAAGTATTTTTGATAAATAATCCTGAAATTTAATTTAAGCAAATCTAACGGTCAATATATATTTTACTAAAATCATGAGAGAGTTAGTTATAATCATTTGAGATTTATGAGATAATAATCCTTGGATTTGCTTAAATTAAATGTCACATATATTTGTCAAAAATACTTATCAAATTCATGTGTAGAAGAAACGCTTCCCTTTAAAATATAGTACATTTATAAAACTATAGGAAAATGCAAGAATAAGAAGACAATTTAGACATGAATAAGAAGTGAGAACAAGGGAGTCAAAACTTAAATTTATATTCAATATAATAATTAGATTTTTTAGTAGATTCTGGTAGAATTTTTTGAAATATATGGTTAAAAAGTTGTGGGATCATAAAAGATATGATTAATATTGATTGTTTGACTTTTCACATAACTTAAAATCAGATTTTAATTCCAAACCAAACAGAAACATATAGTTTCAATGGGAATTACAATATGAAGAATAGTACACTCCTCTAGGGCAAATAAGTCCTATCTAATTAATTATCCTTACATGAGTAAATAGTCATCAATAATTATTTCATATTTTTACAACACTATCCACTCGATCACTATTTGTAAAATCATTGTCTTGTTAAAAAAATAAGTTGACAAAAACTCAATGATATAAAAGTACCAAGTGAAGGAAAAGAAAGTACAGATAATTATATAAAAATTGGAGTAATCGAATATTGACTTTATCAAGAAATTTCACTCAATTGAACAAAACTTAAGCAAAAAAAAAAGAATACAGTTACTCTCCCTAATTTCAAATTAAAAAAAATCTTTGTACCAAGTCATCCATGCCTTGTACATCAGTATCTTCAATATCACCATTTTGGAAAAGTATTTCATAATTTTTTGTTATAGCCTTCAAACAATACTATCTTCATACAAGATGTTTAACTATCGTGTTTGACCTTAGTCAACATGATGGTTCATTAAAAAATAGATTTGTTGTTGATCTCTTTGGGAGTTGTACACAATCCATGTTTGTCTATCATTCTCAAAAACCTCTTTTTCTCTAAAATTTATGTACAATCACATATTCTTACAATAAAATATTTTGCATGTAATTTTAAAACTTTTTAATCACACATTCTCCAAAAAAATATTATTTCAAAACTTATTTTCCTTCAATAAACTCTTTTTAATTGGAATCAAACAAGGGGCGCAATTTATAATACATAAGAGTATTATTTTGATAATAAATGATTTGTAGGTTCAGGTATTTATTACTCAAGAAATATGTTTAGTTAAAACTTTAATAGTAAAAACTCTATGAAAAAAATTCTAATGAATGAGAAATAGTATATTCTTGTTTTAAATACGCTAAAAAAGTTTTCTCGTTAAAACTTTGACGAAAAATTTAATGGGACAAAACCTTGATCAAGGAAAAATAATACAACATTATTCACCCCCTTACGATAATAGCACTTGATTATATGCTTTGGGTATATTAAATCTTCTATGATAGTGTTAATAGTTATGTCAGTTTACTTGAATATAACCACATTTATTATACACATGTCAAATTTCATTTATTGTCAAGACAATAAGATACAGGCTAGTGATTATATGTACAACATGATAATTTATCAATTTATACAAGTCTTTGTGAAATTTGTTATGTTGAAAGTCGTGTATTACATCTTATGACTTCATTTTTTTTATTTCCATTCCCAAGGTATAAACATTTAGGTATTTTGAACTGCAAGTCCAAAAATTTCAGAATTTTCTAGTAAGTTCAATTTTGTTACTTTTATTTTCTATAAATGGACCTACGGAGTCTAAAAACTTTACCCTCTTTGGACACTTTGTGTTTACTTGTTTGGTTGTATCATATGGATGAATTCATCGAGATGGCCATTAAAGAATTCTATCTTGACATTCATCTCCCAAATCTCAAAATCCATATGAGGCAAAACGGATAGGAGGATGCCTATAGACTTAAGTATAGTTGCAGGCAAGAAGATTTCCTCACAGTAGATGCCTTTTCTCTGAGTGTAACCTTAGCCACAAGCCTAACCTTAAATGCATATATATCATATCCTTTCTTCCTCTTATAGACCCACCCTATGAGTTTGATCCCTTCAGGTGATTCCATAAATACCTAGACATGTTTGAATACATCGAATCCTTCTATAAATTCATAGCCTTTTATCCATAATTCTACATCAGTATCCTTTATTGCTCTATATACAAGGTTGGTTATCCACTTACTATATGGATATTGCATGAGACATTCTTTCATATTTCCCAAAAGAGAGGCAACTAAAAGAAAACAAGGGAGAAGATTTAAGTGAGGAAGCATTTGGCTCACTACAACAAAAGTGGCCTATCACAACACTAAAAATGCAACATTCGTTAATTAAGTGTAGCCAAAGAGGTCTATCGCAACATTCAAATAAGTGAATGTTGCCATTGGTTAACATAATTGAGTTTTGTCAATATTTTTTAAATACATGTTGTTAATGTCATCTTTTACAACGTTCTATAAATGTTGCGAAAAATTTCATTTTTTGCAACGTTTTATCGAACGTTGTTAAAACAGGTTCTATAGCAACGTTTCAGTGCATGTTGCTGAAAACTCTTAATACATTTACTAGTTGTTGCAAAAAAATTCACTTTACGTTTTTCATGTATCTTGTGAAAAGTTTTTCGTTTTTTGTAATTTTTTATTGAACGTTGTTAAAATTTGATTCTATTGCAACGTTTAACGTATGTTGTTGAAACTCTTAATAGATAGACTTTTTGTAATATTCATTAAATGTCCAAAAAATTTCACTTTTTGCAACACTTTTATTGAATGTTGTCAAAAGTTGCATTAAATAAATGAGTAATTATTAGAAATTATTTATATGAAAACCAATTCTACATCTATGCCCTAATCCTCTCCGAATTAATTGTTTTAATGATCACTGAATTTAAGTCCATTTTTTTATTGGTCACTGAAGTTTAAAATATCAAATTTTGATCACTGAACTTTGATCCATATTTTCAATTACTCACTAAATTTTAAATGTCGAGTTTTAGCCAAAAACTAACAATTAACTCATTCTCTCCAAACTTCTCTATCATCTTTAATCACTGTGGCACGCTGCGCCATCACACAAACAGCGGCGCATACTGCCACACCAGTCACCAGTGAGCGACGCATTCTGTCTTCTCTTTTTAGATTTTCGGACTACATGAATTTAAGATAGCGTCATTTTTATTTGACCAAACATTACTTCAATCGATATATTTCGACGCATTTATTACGATTCCTTGTTATTCATAATATGATGCAGTACATCATGTATAAAAATGTTATTGACAACTTTTTCTTTTCTTGTGAAAATGTAGTACATCATATCACGATTCTAGTTCTTTTCCCGTAGTGACATAACTTATTTAGATATCTCAAATTTTAACATATCAGGTACCTGACCTTCTTTTGAGGTTTTATAATTGTTATGTCTAAATATTCATCAAGAGTATATGCCTCTTTAATGAGATCATTTTTGTTAATTGCTCCATTTTCATTTGAAAATTTTTTGTATTAGAATTGAACACCATCACGTTTCAAAAGTGCCATAAATATGTCAAATGTAATGCTAACAAATCGTCTTCACAAGACGTCAATTCATATTGGAGCATTTAAAATTGATGTTTACCTCTTTGATCAATAAATGTTTCTAAATAAATTATCATTCGAACTTTTGGTTTGAACGATATTTTGCGAGGATTTAGATGAATATGCATTTATATATTAGTTTCAACTTCTTAATTCATCTCCACTAATACTAAGAGAATTGTCTAATTAAATTGACAATTGTTTTTTTGTAGCGTTATAAAATATCATCCATTTGAGATAAAGGTTTAAATTTTGCATTCATTCTCAGTATTCTTTACTTTTTTATTTCGGTGCAATTTGGTTCCATCTTAAAGAGTCAACCTTATTAAAAGAAGTAACTCAAGATCTTATAAGTTGATCTGTATTTTTATCTTTATTCGATGTGGGACTATATCCCTTAAAATCCCCCCACAAAATAGTGGCTCGTTTGACAGACTAATCTTGAAACTCGTAAGCTCATTTATTGAA